TTTCCAACGTACATAATAACAAAACTATCGGGAGAATATTATGTTCTGAAGTTTCTGATCACCTACAAATAGTTTTAACTTGTGAATGCCAACTATGTTACTCTAAATCATTTGATGAGTATTTATATCGCAAAGAATCTAGACATAGTATAGAATTACTGAAGCAAGATTTATTTCTAGAGGGATGGACAGATGTCTTCAATGGAGACGACGTCAATACCGCATACAATCACCTTAATGCTAAGTTCACACCGACGCCGAATTGATGGCGAATTAAATCGGCGAGCAAAGCGGCGGCAAAGCGTAACAAAGCTTAATTAAAGCGTAAAGACCGTAATAGAGCATGAGAAAGCTTTGAGCAATTCGGGACATTCGGCAAGAGCGCCAAAAAGTTTTAAACTGTTTAAAAATTTGAGGCGATCTGTCACGAATTGCGTAAAGCGGGGAGAGCGTATTAAAGCTTATCAAAGCGTCACAAAGCTTATCAAAGTTTTGCTCAAAGCGTAGGAAAGCTTAACAGAGTTTAACAGAGCTTGGTTCAAGGCGGTGACCCCACTTTGTACGCTCTGTCACCAAATGACACGCTTTGTTAAGATGTCAGAGCATAGCATATCTGAGGAGATCGTGAGATTTTTTGAAAAGTAAACAAAAATGACGCCAAATTGATCGCCGATTTAAAGCGCGACATTCGGCGTCGGCGTCGGCGTCGTTTCGACATTCGACGCGTCGGTGTGAACTGTGCATAAAGGAATCATTTAACAATGTTAAATCTGGCATGCATGGCCCGACGTGTTATAAGTGTCTGTGATATGTTGTAATATTGAAGCCCTAGAAAATTGCGCTTCAAAATGATCACGAAGTGCCTCAAAGAAGTAAAAAAAAAAAAATCTTTGAGTGACCGGTTTTGCCATACTCATTTCCCCCAGTAGACTGTAGTGTTATGAAAACGCAAAATTTGGTTTCCGATTTCCAATCATAAATATCTTGATAATCAGACAGGCGATCGGCTTGTAAAAGTCATGGGGTTCCTGACTGACCTAAAGGTTTATAGTTATCATTGTAGCATGAGCTAAATCCAGGATTTTGTTTCAGAATCTGAGACAAAGTTACCCAATCCCTTTATTAACATATTGCAATACTATTATGATAAGAATATCCCTGTAGGCAAAGTGATAAACAAACGAAGTAAACCCAAGAAACCTTAGATAACGAAAAGTTTATTAAAATCCATACAAACACGAAATCACCTTTAAAATTACACATACGCAATTCAATCACAATAACTTAAATACATATCAAATATATCGCAATAAATTAACCAAAATTGATCCGTTTATCTCGTAGTTTATATTTTGCTGATATAATTTTTAAAAGGCCAGTTCAAAAACTAATGCAACTTTGAAAATCATCAAAAAGGTTATGGGAACAAAGACAAGTCCCCCACCCACGGATAAAATGACTCTAAATGGTACTCAAATACATGATCATGATCTTTATGCAAACTCGGTTCTTGGATCTTGGATTATTTTCCTCCTAAATACTCCGAAGAAGAGTTTTGACTGGAGGTGGGGGAGGGTGGACGATTACATTTTGGAAAAAAGTTCTTTAGTAACTGCATTTTTAAATGAGAGCGGGGAGGTTTGGTCGATGGTTGCTTGTTGTAGGTTGTTCCATGTCTTTGCAGTCCTTGGGAAATATGAGTTGGCATAGACGTCCGAGTTGGTGTGGCGAATTTCAAATTGGTTGGTTAGGGTAAGGGTTAGGGTTATGGTTAAAAAAATATTACGAATATCGGACCCGACCTCGCCAGCAAAATTAACTGCCCAATTGTTAATTTCTCAGAGTATCTTTCAGAACACAATCAAGTGTCTTTCTTCTTAAATCTACACCCAACCAAATTATTAACATTGTCCGATCTATTTACAGCTCAAAATTCCATGTTTGCGATATAATAAGTATGTCTCTTCGGAAAGAAATGGTTCTATCCACTTGCTATGCCTTTAACTCACATATTTAATCACTAGTTATCACAAGGTGTGTTGCCTGATGTATTTAAAACAGCTAAGGTCAATCCAATTTTATTAAAAGACGATCCCCATGAAACTGTCCTATTTGCTGACGACACAAAGTCCTTAACCCATTTAAAAATATCCTGATTCAAGAAATTTATAAATTATCGAACAGGTTTATGTCCAATAAACTTTCTCTTAAAACAAAAAACTCATTTCATGTCTTTTAAACATCATTCTCATTAAGGAACCCACCAGTATATATTAAGATCAATGATATGACAATAGAGAGGAAGATAAAAAAAAGTCCAAGTTTTGGGTCTCCCCATAAAACCTTATTCTTATTATATAATACGCTAGTACTCCCATAAATAAAATATTGCAACATCGTATGGGCTAATTGCGGTTCGACTAAAATCCATTCTATTTTTAAACTACAAAAGAGAGCTATCCGTATTTGTACAGGATCACTTTTTTTCATCAACATTTTCTTAAACTAGCGCCAAAATTGACGCAAATTTAAGATTTTCCTTTGTAGGTGACCCCCTTTTTGTTGGTGCCCTCCCCCCCCCCCCCCACACTTTGAAAGACGCTCCGCCGCACATGCTTGGACCCAACGCAGTATAACGCTCCACTCACTTCGCTTGCGTTTAAAGTTTAATGCTCATAATCTGGTACTGTGCGATAGGTCGTACGACGTTGGTGTCCCCGTTGAAATTCATCCAAATAAAAAATCCACGTAAGAGGCATTTTGAAATGAAACTCTATTTTAAAGAGTGAAAGCCCTAGCGGCTCTGTTTTTTTTAAAAACTTTAACAGTATTTTTTAGATCAGATAACGACCTAAAACAAGCATCCTGATCATCATTCTACAAGTATTATAATGATGGTTTATGGAAAGCCAATCAAGCCGATCATCATTGCTAAGCTTTGTTTCAGACGTAGATAATCTACTCCTAAATTGTACAGTTCATGTCACAAAATTGCAAATAAATTTATAATGTTTGATGAAACTTAGTATTTAAGCTAAAATTGCAAATGCTTTCTACTCTGGGAGTGGGCTCTTACCCCTTCCCAGACCCACCCCCGCTTGGTCGCTTCGCTCCCTCGCCGCTGATGCCTCGCTCTGTCGCTTCGCTACATCGTTTTCATATATTTTACCCCATGAGGTTTTGTGCCCCCCCCCCCCCCGTATATCCCTGCATCCGCCACTGCATCAATTACAGAGTGATTACTAGTGGGTTCTTTTTTTTCTCTCTGGCTCTCATTTTGTTTCATATCCCTTTCTCCTTGTTTCTATCTATCAAGTTCTGTATCTCCACTTTTGCTATTTCTTTTTCTTGATTACTTCATTGATCATACTTGCAAAAAGAGGAGACACAGAAGTTCAGAACAAGTCAAAAATTACCGGTAAATACTATATAAGACATTGAAATACAATATGAACAAACAATGTTCAATGTTTAATCTCAATCTCTCTCTCTCTTTCTTTCTCTCCTCCCTCTCTCTCTCTCTCTCTCTCTCTCTCTCTCTCTCTCTATCTCTCCTCCCTCTCTCTCCCTTCCATCTCTCTATCTCTCTTATCCCCACATGGCTGTACGACACATGCTCCAGCAACACTAAGCCCCATTGAAAATCATTATTTTTGTTCGTGATAATTTATTTCAAAAAATGAAATTTAAAGCTTGCACTCGTATTTCTGCGGTGTCATCCTTAGTCCAGAATCTGGCCTATTTAATTTTGATCTCCACCACACCAACGCTACCTCTCCCTACTTACTTGCTATTAGCCGATGATGGCGTGATCATTAAATTAGGCTGGGCTGGTGAGCATAATTATGAGTTTGTTGATAACGCCATCTTCGACGGCTTGAATCAAGTGTGTAGGGAAATATAAAGGACCGGGCATATTCTGGACTACGTCATCCTGGGATAGGTCTCGGGCATGCATTCTTCGTATTGACCGAGTGTGTGTACAGGGCGGCGTCACAGTTTGGTACTGTACATAGATGTAAACTAACTTGTCCTGTCAACACAGAATGACAAAGGAGATTTTACAGACAAACGGTCATTACGTCATGAGGATGAAGCAAGGACACTCAACATTCAACAAACTTCCTGTTCGATGCGTTTAGTGCCAAATCAAATCAGGCTTGTTTTTTATAATTGCATTGTGTGTGTAAGAAAACAGGTTGTATTTTAGCTAGACTGCCTCTTGGTCATGATTAATTATTAAACTTAACTAATTTATAAATGATCAATTTTATAAAATAAAAAATCTCCATCTCCTATAATATACGCGGCGTTCCTCTCTACCCTCTACTTTCACTTTCTATTGCCTTCCACTCTTTCGCATCCTTCACCCTTTTTATCTCCTTCTTAACCTCGCTTTTTACTATACACACTTTTTCATGCAATTCTAATTTTCTCTATCTGTCTCTCTCTCTTCCTTTCCCGATTGTTCTTTCCTTCTAATTATATAGACACCTCTCATTTCCTCTCGACATTCTCTCTCTGTCTCTCACTTTCTCTTTCCCATTCGTTTCTTTCCTCTCTATATCTATATTTTCCTCTAACTGTTCTCTCCCCCCCCCCTCTCTCTCTTTCTCCCCCCCCCCCCCCTCCCTCTCTTGCTATCCTATACTAAATCAGTTTCTTGTTAATTGCTCCTTAATTTCTCACTATCTAGACATGTATTCTTCTCTGTCATTTTTTCTGGTATTTTGTTTCTATTCTTTTATCTTTTACTCCCCTATTCGTCGTACTCAATCTAATCTGTTTAGCCCTTGAACGATCTCTCTGTCGTTTATCTGCCTTTGAGGTCACGAATACATATTATAGAATACCAATTTATATTTGTATTTATAGCCTTAGAAACTTTCTTTGGCTACCGGCAGACCTCAGTTCTGGTTTTAGAAATCAAGCTAAATTGACCATAATTTATCGAAGTGCTAAAGTATGAAACGTGAACAGAAAATGTCATTCAGTATTAATTACTTGGTGAAATGAATTGTATTCGTTTATTCAAAATGTTACTATAATCAAAATGATTTCATAATAAATACGAGCGAAATTAAAATAGGAAAACAAAATTGTGTAAACATTTTTGTTTTACATTACGAGCTTACTACATTATGATATCAATTTCAGCTGAAATAGTTTTAAAAGACGCAATGGACGATTTGTTTGTTGTTAAATAATTGTTTTTCCTTTATGTTATTTATTGTTCTGATTAAAAGTTATCGAATATTGTTCTTATGTTAGCGGTTACAAGGAGGGGGTGGTCTGTTAGTTCCTGGAATATATGAAGGGGTTGCCTTTCACTTCCTGAAACATCTGATTAAAACGCAGCTGGACGTGGTCGTGCAGTTCCAGGCTCCTCTGATGGACGTGGTCTGTCAGTGGCAGGCTCCTCAGATGGACGTGGTCGCTCAGTTTCAGGCTCCTCTGATGGGCGTGGTCTGTCTGTGCCAGGCTCCTCAGATGGACGTGGTCGCTCAGTTTCAGGCTCCTCTGATGGGCGTGGTCGTTCAGTTTCAGGCTCCTCTGATGGGCGTGGTCTGTCAGTGCCAGGCTCCTCAGATGGACGTGGTCGCTCAGTTTTAGGCTCCTCTGATGGGCGTGGTCTGTCTGTGCCAGGCTCCTCAGATGGGCGTGGTCTGTCGGTGCCAGGCTCCTCAGATGGACGTGGTCTGTCAGTGCCAGGTCTCTCGGACGGGCGTGGTCTGTCGGTGCCGGGCCTCTCGGACGGGCGTGGTCTGTCGGTGCCAGGCCTCTCGGACGGGCGTGGTCTATCAGTGCCAGGCCTCTCTGTCGGACGTGGTGGTTCTCCCTCGCAATTCCTCTGATTCGTTCTCTTGAGCTTTTGCACGTTGATGCCCTGTTCTCCGAACTTCCTCAAAGCATTCTCGATGACTTCCTCGGATGGCATACGATCACGGGCGAGAAGCCAGTTAGACTGGATGTTAAACCAGCCATAGAAGACCTCTGAACACGAGTGTACAAGAGCATATCTGTCGTATTCCACATCGAGAACCCAATAATCGCCTGGTGTTTGCCCTGTAAGACGAGAGAAATATAGATCATAGGTTATTAAGGCATAATAAGGGAGGTATATAGTAATTATTAGTATTAGTAATAATAATCATGATGATCACAATATCACATATCAATCAAATATCACATATTAAACAGATTTCGTTAACTTTCGATAAAACATCCCGTTCTGTATTGTCCTTTTCATATGAAAGATTATTAAAATAATTTAGAGTAATTCAATAATCAAGGTTTATCAATATCATTGTATTATAATCAAAATTGAATATGAATCATAATATGCAGTTGTAAAAACTGTTAATTTTCCGTATACCGATACTTCGATATTTTGTAATATTCATTATTGTCATAAGATTTCTAAGTTGGTCAACTTATAGGCCTATTTGAGTATATAATGAAGGCCTATTGATTTCCATTCTCTCTATTTTAAAGTTATAGGGCCTACTAGGTTTTAAACTTTTCAGGACTAATTGTGTAAAACGTACTAATTTGGAAAGTGATCTCTTTGTCAGAAATTCATATTTTATGTTGTTATGTATTTATATCTGATACTTGGTTATCGTGAATATATATATTTTTAATCAAAATCAAATGAAATTAGATAAAAATCCTCTTACCTCTGAAAAACTGGACCTGCAGCTTTGCTCCCTCCTCTGGGTCGGGTTGAAAGGCAACCCCTTCAATTGTCGTCACCTCTCCTTCTTGTGATCGTCCCGAGTTGATGACACGAATGCTACCATCATCCCCTGGTCGATACTCCGCCGACACACACGTCAGACCATCCTGGTAGAAGGTGTAAAACTTCGTGATTTCGAACCACCGACCGAAGTAGCGATCGAGGTCGAAGTCCCTAGCGACGCGCACTCTGGGGCAGCCACCGAACCCGAAGACTTGGGCCGATGAGAAGCTGGCTAAGCCGAGAAGGAGAAGAAGACCCAATACTCTCATTATTAGGACGTAGCAGTCGTCAGGTAGAGGAACTATTTGATAAATGCTCAAAGCAGAGTTTCTCACTCTCCTTATAAATGCTGAGAGTATTAGTTCCTCATTGGCCGTACAATAAACTAGGTTAACCTGGTACCAGTCTGCGCTACTCTCTTCCTCGAGATTCTGTTTGAACAATCGGGCGAGGCTGGATCAATAGTCCTCAGCAAACATTAAAAACTTTCACTTGAACAACGAACAAGAGAGCCATTGAGAGAGAGATGCATACTTATATTTGTGCTTACGTAATCCCTGTTTGTATTCGTGTGACCTAGAAAATCATGGACCCTGCCACAAACCCCCAATGGTAAATAATACCAGAAATTGACATAACTGTATAGGCATGTTTATCACTTTGCAAAACTTGTAAAGCTCGGGGTGACGTGTTATTTGACTTGAGGGGATCCAGGATTCATGGCTGAAGAAGGGGGAGGAAGGGGCGTTAAATGGACATGTCATGTGGAGGTGTCGTGGTATAGTGGTTAATTCATTAAACTCCCAATCTTAGATTGATGGTTCGAATCCCAGCTTGACACTAACGTCCTCTGCCATTCTCCACCCAGGTGTATACCTGCAGTTGCTGGGGCAACAATAATTGCAAAGCCCTCAGGAAGAATACCTTTGATGCTGATGAGGCTTCCCTGGGTAAACAAAACTATTCATTATTAGTAGTGGTATTCAGGTGCGGATCCACAGGGGGGGGGGGAACAGACCCCCCCCCCCCCCCGGCATTTTGTTTTATTATTATTTAATTTATATATTTTTGTTTAGTGTTCACACTAAAAGATTAGAAGAGGAGAAAAGATATAAGGAAATTGGTACAAAGTAGAGAAGGAAAGAGAGAAGGAAAGAAAGAGAAGAAGAGTGAAAGGGAGAGATAGAACAGAATTTCATTAGGCACATGCATTGTACTCGCGGTTGAAGTAGCGATGCAATGCCAAGCGTGTTTTGATGAGCCTGTTATATAGGCCTATATGCTTATGAGGTGGATCCAAGCTGCGAGGGGAGGGCCCGGGGCACGTGCCTTCTCTCCCAATCGAACGGCAAAAAAAAAAAGTTGAGAGCGAGGGGAGAGAAGAAGGAAAAGGAAAAAGAATGTGAGATGATATAAGGAGATAGATTGCTCTAAAATGCTCTTAAAAGATTATAATATGACAAGAATCAGTAACGTGCATGGGGACAAAATGTTAAATATATAGGTTTTAAATGAAATATGTGTAAGACATGCATTCGAAAAATGTTTTAAGGTGCTCCGATCTGCGTCCTTCATGTATATGTTTAAATGTGACCCATGGGAGAAATGCAACATTGTACGCCAAAAGAAGGCAACGAAATCTAAAAGCCTAATCTTGACCGTTAATGAAGCTTGACACCGTTCAACCAGGGCTTGTAATAAAACACCTCCCTGGTTCAACTCACACACACCAAGGTCTAACATAAAAATGTCTCAATTTTCAAGATATTAATCTATGGATAATGGTAGAAATGACGAGACGGAGGATGTGGGAGATAGAGAGAGAGAGAGGGAAAGAAAGGAGAGAGAGAGAGAGAGAGAGAGTGACAGAAAAAATAGAGCGGGGGAAGAGAGAGTGACATAGAAAAGAGAGAGAGAGGGGGGGAAAGAGAGAAGAGAGAGGGGGGAGAGTGACAGAGAGAGAAGAGAGAGAGGGGAAAGAGAGAAGAGAATGACAGAGAGAAGAGAGAGAGAGCGAAAGAGAGAAGAGAGATATTAATCTATGGAAAATGTTTAAAAGGATGAGACGGGGGATGTGGGAGATAAAGAGAGAGAGAGAGAGAGAGAGAGCGCGAAAGAGAGAAGAGAGAGAGAGAGGGAGAGAGAGAGAGAGAGCTATTAAGAACATACATATATAATAAGAGATATGGAAAAGGCTAAAGAGAAAACTGATAGATAAACATGACAAGAGTAAACATTGATACAGAGACAGAGAGAAAAGAAAAGAAAGAGAGATATGGAAAAGGCTAAAGAGGAAACTGATAGATAAAAATGACAAGAGTAAACATTGATACAGAGACAAATTGATAAAGAGAGAAAAGAAAAGAAAGAGAGGAGCTTTAAAAAGGTGGGTTGTGTGATGGAAGAATTCGTGTCAGAAAATACTATTATTATTATAGTTGAGGGTTATAAACACACAGTCAGGAATCGAACGATCAAGCAACTAACCAACACGTATTTTTTAAAGCAGATGTTTCTGCATTTATTGATAAATCAAATATATAAAACATCAAATAATAACAATACTATAATTGATTTACATCAAGAGTGACAACTGAAATACACACACATAAAAACGCATATATATATATATATATGTATATATATATATATATATATAATTGAAAACTTGAAAGTATGGAGGTAAGTAAAAGAATGAAGAGAAAAGCAGAGGCCAACTATCAAAAACATGAATGCTCGAGTCGATATATAGGAGCCGGGAAGGGGGGGGGGGTACATGACGATGTTATAGGAGTATGTGGGAGAATACAGTGTCACGTATAAAGATTTTGTTCAGAAAGTATCTAAATAAAAAGTGGAAGGTAAAGAAGAAAAAAATGCAAGTGTGTGCAAGTGGGTGTGTGCAGGTGAATCATGTGTTCGATTCGTATTGTTCATGAACTGGTCATCTAAAATTAATTTATATAAACAAACAATTAAAATCGCTGAGATCCTTATAATGTTTGTGAATATTTGGATATCAAATATTTTTTCATCGAGGCTTTGAATGAATAAAGAGATGCATAGTGTAAAGCATTCCAAATATCTGGACCATGGTGTCTTATCGATTTATAGGCCATAATAATGTTTGGGTTAGTCAAATCAAGCAATTAATCCACTTATGAACAAAACTTTGGGGCGCATATTCATAAAACCTGACTAAGCTATCAACTAATAACCATAGGCTACACTGATCATATAGGTTCACAACTGTATAGGCCTAGTAACGTTTTACAAACATGAGCCGAGGACCCGGGCTTCTAATTATTTCAGTACAATATTTTCAGTTATGAGGCTAAAAACAAGTAAAATTATTAAATAGAGAATTAAAATCATATTTCCCGTTTTTTACATATTTACCTGACGCGCATCTTATTTACCTTATTTACCGGACGGTATTTACCGGTATTTACCGCCGGTAATTACCGCCACCGGTATTTACCGCCCAACCCTGATAACAATCGTGGAGTGTGCGCCGGCCTTTAACTTGTATCTTTTTTTCTTTTAGATATAAAATAAACAATGTATGAACAAGATACGTCGGGCAATGGATTAGCAACTACATATTATATAAATAATTCAACTTAGTATCTGGGCCTACAGTATAAAGTTAGCGTTTCTATGAGCACATACACATAAAAAGAAAAATACACTAATAAGAAAAAAACACTTATAAAAGGAAAGGAATACAAAGTTTCAAAAGATGCATTCAATTATTAAACTTTATATGTTCATGTATGTACAAGTGTATATATTTTTTAGTTTCAATATCAATAAATTTATTACATTACTTGCCATTTTTCAAATATAAATGAAAGCGTACGGAATTGTTTGTCAAAATAGCACATTGACGAAGTAAAAAGTAAATAATTTACATGTTATTTTAGTATGGTGTTACCGTCATAACTATATACAATATATCATATTTTATTCAATTACAATAATTGGCATCTTAAAGCTGTGCCTTGTCTTATAAACAGTTGCGATTCAATTTTTTTATTTTTCAATTGCTATTCTGTACCATAGCATATTAAGAGAGATGGTTGACACGCGTAAGCACTCGTTTTTAATTCATGGAGCGCTGATATAGTCCCTTCTCATATATTATATGTACTGTGGGAAGGAACGATTTGAGTGCGTCAAGGAGGAGGCGCGATAGCTCAGTCGGTAGAACAGAGCAGTGGTCTCGTAATCCGGTGACCCGGGTTCGAAACCAAGGCGATGCGCTAGTGCCCTTTGGTAAGGCATTAATCCTCATTACCAGGTCCCTCGGAGAGGACCTAAAGTCGTCGGCCGTCTGGTTGCTTACTTACAAGCATTTATGCTTTCTTAGCAGTCAGGTAAGATAACCACCACCACAAGTAGCTTTTGTACGAGTTCGAGTGTCACAACTATCTCTCTCAATATGCTATCCTCTGTACTAATGTGAAAGGAGTATTTTTAGTTTACAATTATAATAATCGGATGATTTGCAATAAGTCTGGATCACTTTTAAACCTTTTTAAGACAGGGCCCTGAAATAAAATGACAAAGCAACAATACATGTTCGAATTTGTATAGGTACGTAAGAAAGAGATCCATTAGTCAACTGATATAGATCAACAATTCATCTGAATATTTGTAATTATAAACTTCTGTAAGCAAACTAACAGATAAATTATGGTATACAAGTTTATGTGTTTTTTTTTGTTCATATCAATTAACTGATGTCATGGCAAGTATAACAATATGATTAACTTTACAACAACATTCGTAGTACAACGTTACTATACTAGGTTGAAAACAACGTTTTCTAAGATTTTGTTTTTAATTTCCAAACTAGTAGAGTTTGTATTGTTATGATCTTGTCTACCCTTTGGAATTATAATTAATTTAAAATGTAATTTAATATTATCTCAGTGTTCAATTGAAGTTCATTGACGAATAAATGTCCAGTATTAAGAACATGCTTTTTGCTTAAATGCAGATTTGAATCGTTCTAGCTGCTATAAGATTCGCAGCTAGACGTCCAGGGGGTGCTCACGCAATCATACAAGCAAACAGTTTATTAATACCTATCAATCTATAAAAATAGACTATAAATATAGCATAAATGAATAGAAGTCATTTTGACAACAGGATAACGAAGAGCTAGATATTTAGAGATTTCTTACAATTAAAACTATATATTATTTTTCTATTAAAATAGACATTCATCAATTAATAAAATAGATACAAATATATACAAATAATGTCATTGCAAAAGGATTTTTTTAGCATCTACATGTTAAGCCTCGGTCACAAATGCCATTACGAACTGCTACGAACGCCGTATGAACGATTTCCAAACAATGGAAATTCGGGAAGACAATGGAAAAACA